CATGATACTAAACCGAATCATATCGGACGATATTACACTACCAGTCAACGTCATTTTTAAGCATAAATAAAAAACAATTATATTTGCGTTATACATAACTGTTAATTTTATTAAATTTGTATTACAAAACACTTATTGTTAAAGTACATAGGTATTCTATGTATATGTCAATTTTATAGATAACTAATAGTTTGAATAAGTTAGGGAACATAATCGTGGCAATAATGGTATTCTTCGAAAAAATGTTTCAAACACAACGGTTTCCGACATTAAGTATATGTAATAATAGATACGTCACGGCATATGTATATGGCATAGTGGTTCATTATGTGATGCATAGCAAAATTCTACTGTATTTGGAAAATGAGGAAAAATTTTTTGATAATGGTACCAATGGGGAGTCAGAACCTACCAGATGCAAAAGGTTTCGTTCCGATCGGTCCACCCAGCTAGGCGTAATCGGCGAACATACATAGAAAAAAAAAAAAAAAAAAAAAAAAATACTGATCGAATTGAGTAACCTCTTCCTTTTTCGAAGTTGGTTAAAAAATAGGATATAAAACTTCGTTTTTGAATTATTAAGAAAAATAGAAGCAAAAGGCAGCTTTGAACCTGGCTGCTGAGCGTGATTGTGAATAAGTGTCTTTGCCCCGAGACAGTGTACATGTTTAATAAAAAGCCCTTATGTTAAAACTCAGTTAAATAATTAACAGAACTATTATAAATAGTGTTCACTTAATTATTTCTCATAAATAAGGAACAGAATTAGTTATGTATAATTAACCGAAACCGAAGAATTGAAATTTCTGTTATTTTAAATTTATACAAAATGTATAAATAGTTAAAATGAGATCCTCGTAACTAAATTGCTTTACCGATCATAACTATTCGTAAAAATAATACGCGCGCCACAATACGTAATGTCACAGTCGGCTTGCTCCATTATCATTTTTCATTATCACTTTTTATTGTAATATTTTGTTGTTAGTTTTCATTCATTTTCTAATGTAATAACGGTGGATAAAAAAGCGAATACACATGAACGATTGCCCGAAAATAACTTTTATAATTTTTTTCTTTTTAGTGTTGCGCTTCGGATGTTTTGTCCTAAACTGCCAATCGTAGCTATCAAAGTTCCAAACGTAAAAGGAGCAAAAGTTCTGGACATCGTCTTCGGCCCTTCGAACCGAATTGGTCGAGTCAAAGAATCATAAAACAATTAAAAGGTTTCATTTTGCTGGCCTGGTGGTCACTTTATGGGCGTCCGAGAAAACCCTGTTTTTACGTAATACGCGTTACTTTGTGACTATACGGATGTTTTGAGAGTCGAAGTAGACATAGGTTGTAAATCTTTGCTCGAGTTTTTAAGCGACAACGAAACCGCGTATTTCTCTACGACTTTTTAAGGTATGCAGGATATTTGTTGGCGTTTAAAGAAATACGATATTTGCGAAAACTATTTAACAATTCAAGCAATTACTTAATGACAAAATAACTTGATAGAAATATATAAGAGTGACGCGTAAAGTTACAAAACTGAGGCTAATGTTCCCGTACTGAGGAGATTATAATGTTTGACCTTTGAAGATTTGTATGTCAACTAATTTTTTCTAGATTTTTCGATTAGAAGAAAATTTAACCCCCGCCTCTTTTCATGATTGGTAAAAATGTCGAAACCAGTTGACAGTTACATTCACTGTCCCCTCCTTGCTTTTTGCGTCGGAAATGTGGTTTTTCCAAAGTAACAGGTGTCAGTGGAAGCGGGGGCAAGAAAGGACGATTTTTACTAATTGTAAGAGATGGAATTTCCATAACTTAACATGGTCCCGAGTTTAACGTTGAGCGCAAGTGCCTCGTGATCGAAAGACTGCGAAACTTCACATCATTTAGTAAATCACGTCTCAAATTTTATTAAATCAAAATATCCAAAATTTACTTCTGCCAGGACGTGACAAATTTAAAACAAGGACTATGCCCTACTACCGGGAGAACCCGCAATCTTTGTTACGGGAATAAGAATTTAGGATATTTGCCCTACTTAAGGTAATTATGCGGGTCGATCTTTTATCGTCGATCTCTTCGACGGCAATCGTTTCGCACAAATCTATCTAGTAAATAAATGCAAAACGAAACCATGAATTTTACTTTATTCGACTTACATCATGTCTTATCCATTTATTTTATTTAAGAGCCATACTTGATAACTTAAATTTCAAATGTATAATTTGTCTGTTACTTAGTCATATATATAAAAATTAACTTTCTTCTGTATACAGATTTTGAACTTATTAAAATTGGTTAAATTCGTCAAATTGATCAAATCTAAATTTCAATATTCAACGTTTCATATTCAACGTTTAATTAATAAAAAGGGAATTGTTTATTTGTATTTTGCTCAGAGTGTGTAATGAAATCATGAATTGCGTAGAGATACGTAGGATAGAGAGGAGGCCAATCAAGCGTTTAAAAAAGGGGATAACAGCAAATAAGAGCAATCCAAGGAATTAGAGAACACGGCGGAATGAGTGACTGAGGTTTGCTAGGGCCTTTCCCGTAAAGCAAAGAGAAGCAAAATGGCAGTAAGCGTCGAGAGAAAGAACGGACAGCATGTTATAGAATGGATAATGGTGGAGGGGGAGTGGTGAAAGAGGAGAATGGGTGGCAGGTGGCATTGGAAGAGAGAAAAGGGTGGGGGTAAAATTACCGCAGGTGCGCTTGGTAGAACAAGCGACACAAGGGAGAGGTCGTTGTCTGTATAACATGCTATTGGTTTGCGATAGATCTCAACGGGGGATGACGTGTTTCTGTCGTGAGCTCTGAACGCAACACAAAGAAATTCAATTAAGCGCGGGTAAACAGCGCGGCGGGTGTCAACTATGACTTGCTTGGCGGGAGTAACTATGACTCCCTTTACACGCAAGGTCTTAGGAGTCCGGGATTTTACCCCGTGTTCGATGCAGGCCCTAGCAGATAGTTGCTGAGGTGTCGTGGTGCATGCACCATAGTATCCAAAAACTTTCTTTTTCGTTTTCACTTCAGTTCTAGCTTTCGTACAGTACAGACATCCTCCGTGATCATAGTAGAAAATAAAGTTCAGTTTAACGTTGATTTCGTGTGTACAATTTATTATAAACTCTATAAAACCATATCCTATTTCCATTAATATCACTCCGATATGTACACTGCGTCAATAAAACTTTAGGCATTTGAAAGAAACGGTAAAAAGAGAGATTCACATTCCCGATTCCACTTTAACCAGTGATTCAATGGGACCTCTAGTAACTATGACTCTCTTAAGCGGGACTCTTTTTTCACGAAAGATCTTAGGAGCCCGAGATTTATCCCGTGCTCGATGCAGGCCCCAGCAGGCAGTCGCTGAGGTGTCGTGGTGCTTGCACCCTAGTATCCGAGACTACTCCCGCGAGTCATAGTTAAGTAAGCAGCCACCTCTTCGTTGGTTCCCGCCACCAGTACCCCTTTACTCCCAAAGTAGAGGATCGGACGAAGCTAAGATCTCCCCCTGCGCACTCGGATCCTGCGGGTTGCCAGCCCTCCCGATCCTTAATTCATTGGTTATAAGTGGCGGGCCCTCAGGCTCGACTACTCTTGTAAGCGAGTAGCATAGGATACACAGATCCGACAGGATGTAGATAGTGGGTAAAACCATCCTTGCCGAGGGAAG